GATCTTGAACTTCTAGCCTCAAGTGATCCTCCTATCTTAGCCTCGAAAGTGTTGGGATTACAGGCATGAGCCACCAGGCCTGGCCAGAATCTTGCTTTTACTCTCATCGGAGAATCTCTGCCTTCTGGTCGGAATGGTTAAAGCAGTGCCTCTGTCCAGTAGGATTTTCGGTAATGATGAAAAGGCCCTGTAATCTGCATTCTTTTCGTGTGACAGCCATTTGCCACATGGGGCTCCTGAGCACTTGAAATGTGGCTGGGGCAGGAAGCAACTGAGTTTACCATTTTATTTAATTTTAATTAATTAAAATCTACATTTAAATTGCTGCAAGGTGTTGATGGCTATTGGAGTGGATGAGCCTTGTTTGAATCATGCATCATTAGTGTAAGGCCTTCATGTTTGGCTTTAACTCTACTGTCTTGATGTTGCTTTCTACATTTCTTTTTATTCCCCCCTTTTTCTTTTCTTTCTCTCCCTTCCTTTTTTTTTGGAGTAGAATTGAGTGCTATTTAGCATTCCATGTTATCTCCACTGTGGGCTTATGAGCGATTCCTGTTTGTTTCTTTTTTTAGTGGGTGCTTTAGAGTTTACAACATAGATCTTTAACTTTCTGCAGCCCGCCTTCAGATAGCACTGTATCGTGTCCTGTGTGGTGGATCGGCCACACGGGAATGCACTGCTGTGTCCGGCGCCCACCTTGTTGATGTGGCTTCGGTACATTCGGGACTGCGTGTCGTTTCCGACACATGACCCCGCCTCATTCGCGTGGCTTCAGTACATTCGGGAGCACGTGTCGTTTCCGACACGTGACCCCGCCTCGTTCGCGTGGCTTCGGTATATTCGGGACTGCGTGTCGTTTCCGACACATGACCCCGCCTCGTTCGCGTGGCTTCGGTACATTCGGGAGCACGTGTCGTTTCCGACACGTGACCCCGCCTCGTTCGCGTGGCTTCGGTATATTCGGGACTGCGTGTCGTTTCCGACACATGACCCCGCCTCGTTCGCGTGGCTTCGGTATATTCGGGACTGCGTGTCGTTTCCGACACATGACCCCGCCTCGTTCGCGTGGCTTCGGTACATTCGGGACCGCGTGTCGTTTCCGACACAACCCCGCCTCGTTTGCGTGGCTTCGGTACATTTGGGACCGCGTGTCGTTTCTGACACATGATGGCCCTGCCTCGTTCGTGTGGCTTCGGTACGTTCGGGACTGCGTGTCGTTTCCGACGCATGACCCCGCCTTGTTCGCGTGGCTTCGGTACATTCGGGAGCACGTGTCGTTTCCGACGCATGACGACCCCGCCTCATTCGCGTGGCTTCGGTATGTTTGGGACCGCGTGTCGTTTCCGACACATGATGGCCCCACCTCGTTCGCGTGGCTTCGGTACGTTTGGGACCACGTGTCGTTTCCGACACATGATGGCCCCGCCTCGTTCGCGTGGCTTTGGTACGTTTGGGACTGCATGTCGTTTCCAACACGTGATGACCTGCCTCGTTCGCGTGGCTTCGGTACGTTCGGGACCACGTGTCGTTTCCGACACATGACCCCAGCGCGTAGGTGTGGATTTTGCTTTCACAATCAATAGTGTTTTAAATAAATGAACGTATCTTTTTTCTATTTACCCTCTGGCATTCTTTAATTCTTCATGGAGATCCAGATTTCTTGCTGCTACTTTCACCCTAACTAGCTACTTCTAACGTTTCCTGTACTTCACATCTGTTGGAACTGATTCTTTTCACTTTGGCTTGTCAAAATCTGCCCCTGTGTTAGAAATCTATTTCCAGTGGGGGTAGAATTCTAGTTGCAAGTTTTTCCTCCCAGCACTTTGAAGACATCCTTCCATTGTCTTTCGGCTTCCACAGTTTCTGACGAAAGGGTCAAATCTTTTCTTATGTTTTGTCTTCCTCATGAAATGTGCAGTTTTTTCTCTGGGCCACTTTTCAGGTTTCTTTATCACTGGTTTTCTGCAGTTTGCCTATAATATACCTTGGATTTAAAAAATATATATTTGTTCGGCTTGTGGATTGGTGAAATTCTTGAATCTCCGAGTTTATAGTTTCATAAAATTTGAGTACTTTTGGTCATTATTTCTGGCAATTCTTTTTGTTTGTTTTGTGTCCCCTCCCCCCTGCTGCCCCCCTCCCTGTGTGTGCCCCTTACTGGCCTGTGACTTTGAGCAGGTCACCTGCCCATCTGTGAATGGGGAGGGTGATCCTGGTCCCTAGGATGGGTTCTCGTGCTCCTCTTGCCAGAGCTTGTTCCATGGTAAAAGAAAAACTTGAGCTGAACTAAATTTAAAGGAGTTTAGTTGAGCAATGAACAATTCATGAATTGAGCAGCCTCCCGAGCCAGAGTATGCTCAGAGACTCCAGCACAGCCATGGGGTAAAAGATTTTGGACAGAAAAAGGAAGTGACATACAGAAAACGAAGTGAGGCATGGAAACAGACCGGTTACAGCTTGGCGGTTGCCTTATTTGAACATGGTTCTAACTGTTGGCTATGTTTGGCCAAAATTCAGTGACTGGCACAAGTGTAGGGCACGGTCCGTTTACACTGCCTGTTGTTATCATTCAAGATGTACAAATCAACCTGTAGGCCACACTGAAAATATGTAAGGAGGCACCTTTAGGCTAAACTTGATTTAACTCATCATCACTCTCGTTGTTCCACGAATGCAACTGAGGCCCTGACTTGACCTTGGTAGGCTGGGCCATGGTGACATCGAGGGGTGGTGGGTGCTGGGTGATGGGGGAGCCGTTCCTCAGGCCTCGCCCTCCTGGAGGCCGCCTGGCAGTTCCTCCTTTCTCCAGTCCTTGCCCTGAGTGCAGCTGCTGGACCCGGAGGCCTGGGGCTGGAGCAGGGTGGAGGTAGCCGGGCGGAAAGTATGCAGGGGGCCAGGACTTGCCCGGGAGCCAGAGGTGCACAGAGCATCCGTGGACAGACCTGCGCACTCCCAGATAGAGTGCTAGGATCAGCCCTGCCCTGACCAGGCAGCTCAGTGACCCCGAGCAGAGCCGGACTTGGGCCTTGTCCTGGTGGAAACCCAGATGTCCAGCCAGGGGTGCTGTGTACCTTCAGGCCGCGCCACCTGAGGCCAGTCCACACAGGGTTGGTGTTGGGAGGGTCCCCGTAGCACCCCTAGTGTCTTCTAGCCCTCACACCTGTTTGTAGACCTCAAACCACGTTCTTTTATTGCTAAATTTTAATATGGAAAATTGTAAACTTGCAGAGAAAGTTGAAAGAACTGTACAGACACCCACATAGCTGCCACCTGGATGTCAGCCTGGAGTCTCTACCTGGTTTAGTCACGCCTTTAGTGCCTCCACCTGCGTGCATTTCAGAGTGAACTTGGCCCTCAGTGCGTTTCCTCCCGAACGCTGGTTTACTTGCCATTCACTTCTCTTTCTTTTATGTACAGTGAACCGCACAGCTCCTAAATGTGCCATCCTGGGCATTGTGACGGTTTGTGACAGAAGTGTGTAACCCACAGCTCTGTCCAGGCCCAGGGCAGGCCCTCACCCAGGAGGGTCCCTCCGGCCCTGCCCCAGTTCCCTGGCCTGGCCCAGAGGCCCCAGGGATTGCCTTGGTCGTTCTGGACCTGGGACCCGTTTGTGCTGTCGTCTGAGCAGTGTTTCTGAGATTCACTGTGTTGCGTGCCTGGAGTTTCCTTGCATGCAGGCCCATGTGGCCGTCCCTTTCCTGGTGTCTCCTGGGCCCCAGCCCTCTCTTCGGGTGGGGGCTGGTAGCAGTCAAGCTGCCGGGAGCTGGGAGTGCTCTTCAGGCGCTTCTCTGGATGTGTGCTCTGCTCCTCTGTGAACCCCGGGGCTGCTGGCTGGAGGGTGGGCAGGCCACGAGTGTTTTGATGTGCTTCGACGTACGCTCTGCCCCTCTGTGTAAATGCCCAAGATGCTGCCCGGGGGACGGGCAGAGGGCGAGTGTTTGCCGCGTGCAGACCCTTCCCGTGGTGGCCGTGCCGTTTATCCTCACCGTGCGGCGGGCGAGCGTTCCATCCACCATGTCCTCATGCGAGCGTTTGCAGCGTGCAGACCCTTCCCGTGGTGGCCGTGCCGTTTATCCTCACTGCACGGCGGGCGAGCGTTCCATCCACCATGTCCTCATGCGAGTGTTTGCAGCGTGCAAACCCTTCCCGTGGTGGCCGTGCCGTTTATCCTCACCGTGCGGCGGGCGAGTGTTCCATCCACCATGGCCTCATGAAGACTTGCTGTCCTCACAATGTTCTGTAGGTTTTTAAAAACTGAGATAAAACCCAGTCACTCAGAATTCACCATCTTAACCATCTTAAAGCGTACAGTTCAGTGTCTGTTAGAATATTCAGCATTCTATAATCACCACTTTCTAATTCTGAAACGTTTTCATCACCCTCAAAAGGACCCCCGTACCCATTAGCAGTCATGCCCATTCCTCCCTCTCACTGCCCCTGCCCCGGCTCTGTCCGAGGATTGGTTTGTTCTGACGTGGTAGATGTGTGGAACCATGCAGCATGTGGCCTTTTCCCGCTGGCTTTCATCTCCGTATGTGCTGCGCTCTGGGCTCCCCTGCATTGTGTGGAAACCAGTGTTTCTGTCTCCGATGCTGAGCTGGCGGTGCAGAGCTGGACCTCATGTCTGTTACTTCGTCAGCGGTGCTGCGCTTTGACTCTTAGTGATGCTGCTCTGAGCCTCCACGAGCAGGTGCTCGTAGCTGCCGGGCACACACGCCAGCTGCTGCGGTGTACGGGAGCTCAGGGTGCAGCCTTTCTGAGGGACCACCCCCTGCCTTCCTCTCCTTTCTTCCAGCTCGTGGGTACTTTGAAGGCAGGCATGGGTGTCCAGCCCTGACCCCAAGGTGGCCAAGCCGCAAAGAACCCCTGAGAAGGGTTCAGGGCCACTTTGCCGCCTCTCAGGTCCCTGGCCCTGGGGACTGCCCAGAGCGGTTAGCAGAGCTGGGCCTGCAGGCTTCACCCTCAACCTGTGTTCTCTCCTCCTCCCTGTCTTCTCCCAGCCACCCAGGTCGATCCGCGTGACCTCCAGGAGCTGTTCCAGGAGATGTCGGCCAACGTCTTCCGAATCAACTCCAGTGGTGAGTCTGCGTCTGGCCCAGGCCTGCCCCTCCATCCAGGTGCCCTGGACCCCGACACGACGCTGGGAGTCGAGGGTGCTGGTGCATGGCGTCCCCACCTCAGGCTGTCTTGTGGTGCAGTCCTGGGTTTCTTGGGTGGGAAGGAGTAAGTGCTGGGTCAGGGCCGGGTGCCGCTTCCGCCGGCTGCTCCTGCCCGCTGCTGGCTCCTCTCCCTGACCCCACGCTGCTCCTTCTCGACACCTTTTGTGTGATCTGGATGGAGCCCAGTGGAGGAAGGAGCATCCCAGGGCCTCTCAGACTTGCAGAGCAGAGGTCACTGCAGGAGTGAGCAGAGCCTTCAGTCCTTAGGGACACCTTAGCCTCTCAGAGGGCCCTGTTGGTGCACATAACTTGTGTAACTCTGGCCTGGGTCTGTGACTCTCCCATCTCTTCAGTGTGGTGAGCACAATTCCCAGCGAAGCTGTTGCATTTAGATCTTTGAGAGCAGGGACGAGAGCCACGTGTCAGATGGCCAGGGGAAGGGGAAGGAGTGGGGTGAGGGGAGCAGGGTGGAGAGAAGCTGTCCCCAGAGCCAGGGCAAGGCTGCTGAAGGCAGCTCCTCAGAGCCCCTGAGCTGCACGTGGGCCTGAGCGCCTGTCGCAGACCAGTTGGGGGGGTCCTGGCTGGTGTGACCTTACGCTGAGGTCAGTGTGTGCCCTGGTCTCCAGGCCGCTTAGGTGGTCTGCCCTGGCTCAGGCACTGGTCCTTGGGCTCTGCTCACCCTGCCCGGGCTGCAGTGGGCCACCCATGTGGAGTAGCAGGGGCAGGGAAGCTCCTTCTGCCCTCACCCTGTCCCTCTTCTCTCGGGCAGTGACCTCCTTGGAGCGGAGCCTTCAGTCCTTAGGGACACCGAGTGACACGCAGGAGCTTCGGGACAGCCTGTGAGTGTGTGGGCCACGGCATCTCCATGCCTGGGCGTGGTGCACATTGGGGGGCAGGGGCAGGAGTGTAGTCCTGTGCACACAGGCTTTGTCCACACAGCTGCCTGCCCACAGCTGCCTGGGCACACGTGTGCACATATATGCACACACACCTACGGATAAGCCTAGTCAGTGCTGTGAACCTGAGACTGGGCTCTCAGCCTGCAAGCGCCTGGGGCACGCAGGTGCACCCCGCCCCGACGTGGAAGCCTCAGTGCACCTGTGCATGCCCCAGTCACGCGCATGCGTGTGCTAAGGTCGGGGATGCATGCCTGCTGGCACACGCTTTTCCCTGCCAACGTGCTCCAAATGTGTCTTTCACGTCTGAAGGCTCCCTGTTGGGGCCTGCTCAGCTGTGGACACAGGAGGTGAGACCAATGTGCCATTTGCACAGCCATGGGCTGGGTTGGAGTGGGGCGTCCTGTCTTGCTTCTGCCCTTTCGGGGAGCTGAGCCTTGGCGGGCTCCCACTGGACTTTCCTTGAGGGGTGCCTAGCAGCCTGCCCTGGGTTGGGCTGGTCTGGGATGGGGAGAGGTGCCTTGGGTGCTGTCTGCTAAACCTGAGCCCTGGCTGGGCTGGGGAGGGGAGGGAAGGGAGCATCTGTCCCAGGTGTGGTGAGAGTGGCACTCTGGGGTCCGAGGGGACACTAGCAGTCTATACCTTTGCCCTCCATCTGGTCCCCGCTGCACTTGCTGCTGTGACCTCCCATGCTTGCCTGTGTCTCGCCCTGCAGTGAGCAGGATGCCCGCAGCCCCAAGGACCCCAGCCAGCCCCAGGCCACTGCATTGGAATGTTGTCCTCAGGCTCCCCTGTGTAGAGCTGGTGGCCACACCAGCCTCGCGCCCTGAAAGGGCCAGAACTGAGGAGGCTGGGAGGGCCACGGCTCCCACAAGGGTGGAGGGTGCTGGAGTCTCTGCTCCTCCTCACAGTGGCTCCATTCAATATCCACAGGCGCCCTGCCACACAGCCCCACGCTCCAGCTGCAGAGCACCCTTTGCAGATGTTCAGGGCAATTCTATCCTTAGCCTTTTTTTTTTTAAGCCCTTTTATGAAACTGAAACTTACTGTTTTCTGATGTAACAGTGACGTAGGCTTGTGATGAGGAATTTGGACACAGGACGCCTGGGAACCACTGTTAGCATGTCAATGTTCCCTGCCAGCCTTCCTCACACCCATGCATATTCGCAGAGTCAGAGCTCAGCGAGGGACTCTGGACCTGCTGGTCACACCCGGGCTCTGGGGTACTCGGGCTCAGGAAACGCGTAGCCTCTCAGAGGGCCGTGTTGATGCACGTAACTCGTGTAACTCTGGGCCAGGTCTGTGGCTCGCCCATCTCTTCAGTGTGGTGAGCCGAGTTCCCAGTGAAGCTATTGTGTTCAGGTCTTTGTGCCTCTGCCCGGCTCCTGGGTTAGGTCACAAGGGCCAAGTGGGACGGGCACTTCAGGACCCTGGCCCTCATGTGCGCATCCTGGGCCGCCCGGCCTGGTTAGCCAAAGACCGACACCACCCGCTGTGGGCCTTGGAGAGGAGAGAGGGCCCCAGCGTGGGGGAGGAGACTGTCCTGGTCTGAGGACCGAGTATCCCAGCACTGTGGCCCTCCCCTGGGCCAGCCTCAGCTGTCAGGTCTGGACACTCTTGCCTTAGTACTTTTCTGGTCCTCCCTGTGTGGCTGGCTGTGGCCCTAGCCTGCTTGTCATGGCTTATCTAGAGCCTTCTGTGGCCTCTCGGATGCTCCCATATCATGGACTGTTAACGTTTAAAAATAACTTTTGAGACCAACATGATTGCCAGTTCTGTGTTTCCTCCACATTGACGAAGTCGCCAACTAAGGACATTTAAAGGATATACCTTCATCCATGGCCGCCATCATTTCATCAGGGAAGAGGCTTTCCAGCCCTGCAGTGTAGGAGGGACCCAGTCTCAGGAGGGAGGGTGGTCCTTCCACCTGAATACATTCAGCTTCAGAAAAACCTCGCCAGGTGGGGCCCATTTCCCTCATCCCATGCAAGGCTGATGTGGCCAGGTCATTTCTGTCACCTGCGTGCAGACCCCACCCCAGGCCTCCCTGTCACAGACCCCCACACTGGAGTCCAGTGGCCACGTTGCAGTCCCGTGGGCGGGGCTCAGTGGCAGCTCGGCTCACACACTCCTGTCTGGGCTCTGTTCCCTTCCACCCTGGGGGCCGTCACCACGTGGAGATGGTGTGTCGGCTGGCTCACCCCATGGTGTGTGGCTGTCAGAAATACTCGTTCCTTGGTGCCGAAAAGAAGAACTAGTGTTCAGACAAAGAATTTTCTCAGCAAGGCAATTTTACTTTCTGCAGAAGGAGTGCTGCCTGTTAGCAATCCTGCCATGAGAGCACAGTTGAACAAAGAAAGGCAAGAATATTTATCCCTTATGCATTGGGTCCTTTAGACCTGATTGGCTAACAGCTTAAAACTTTCCTGAATAGGTAAAGGCAAAGGAGAACAAAAGGAAAAGGGGAAGTTGCTTGTGAAAGAACTTAGAAAAGTAGTCACATTTCCGAATAAGGACGGCGTGTAGGCTGTGAGCCGGGACGTGTTTGAGCATGTTTAGAACAAGTATCTTGGTTAAAGTACAAGGACATAGGATGTACTTATTCCCTTATATCTAACAGCTACATAGAATAGGACTTGGCAAAGAGTTATTAGTATAAAAGCAAGGAGGCTTGAAGGAAGTTAGTTTTTTAAAAAAACTATTATTTCTAACACTTACGATTTATTCTTTAGTAAGAAGGGAAACTTTGAAGGGGACATTTTTTACTTTCCACAGTGGCACAGAGGACCCGCTCCCCTTGGAGCTTTTGGACTTGTTCGTGTGGGCCGTGTTCTCTGATCTGCCTGGGGCACACGTGTTCTCTGATCTGCCTGGGGCACGCGTGTTCTCTGATCTGCCTGGGGCACGCGTGTTCTCTGATCTGCCTGGGGCACGCGTGTTCTCTGATCTGCCTGGGGGCACGTGGGGGTTTCGCCGATTGCCTGGGGCACGCGTGTTCTCTGATCTGCCTGGGGCACGCGTGTTCTCTGATCTGCCTGGGGCACGCAGTGATGCCTCCCTCTCACCTCCCTGGTTGTGGTGAAGGTGTAGGTTGAGTGGCCCTAGTGGGGGTGCATTAGAGGTGGCTGCTGAGGGTCTGCTGGCCCACTGCCCAGCATGCAGCGATGGGAGTGGGATCTGGGTGAGCTGGGCTACTGCTCCACGTGAGGTGTGCTCTTCTTCCCGGCCTGGGATTTTTATGTCAGAATCAGCACCAGAAGGGCTCAAGGAGCCTTGGTTGACGTTCATTCAGCACCGCAGGCTCGTGCTTGGCAGCTCTTTCAGGGGCTTAGTCCTAACAGCCCGCCTCCTGCAGTGAGAGCTTAAGCAAGGCAGGGCCATGATCCATGTATGCAGTTCATCCCATCCCACTGGATTGAAGGCAAGTCCCTGTGGCAGAGGGGTGGCCAGCAGGGTGTGAAGAGCTGACCTCCTGCAGTGCCCAATGGAGGGCTCTGTGAGGGGGCCAGAGAGGGCTCACAGTGCCCTCCATATGTAAAGACAGACCCATTTGCCAGCTGGTGCAGAATTGCACCCCTCTGTCCCTCTGTAAGGATGGACCTGTTCACCAGCTTGTGCAGAACTGTGCCCCTCAGTCCCACTGAGAATGCACCCATTCGCCAGCTGGTACAGAACCGTGCTCCTCTCCTGCTGTAAGGATGGACCCATTTGCCAGCTGGTACAGAACTGCCCCCTCTCTGTCCCACTGTGAGGACAGACCCATTCACCAGCTGCTGCAGAACTGCACTGCTCTGTCCCACTGGAAGGACGGACCCATTCACCAGCTGGTGGGCATTTGGGTGACTTCATTTTGACCACGATGAATAAAGCTGTGGTGAATGTAGGTGTGTAGGTGTTTGCGTGGGTGTAGGTTTTCACCTATCTTGGATAGATCCCCAGGACTGGACTTGCTGGGTTATACGGTGGCTCTTTGTCTAACCCTTTGAGGAACTGCCGGACTTTCCAAAACAGCTGCCCCATTTTACACCCCCACCAGCAGTGCTGGAGGGTTCCCATCTCCCCACCTCACTGCCAGCGCTTGTTGTTATATGTCTTTTGGATGTGGCTATCCTCGTGGGTGCGAAGTGGGGTCTTGTGGTGATCTCATTTGCATTTTCCTGATAATTGATAGCTTCAAGCATCTTTTGATTTGCATATCTTCTTGGAATAAATGTCTGTTCAGATCCTTTGCCCATGTCCTGATTGGGTATTTTTCTTTTTACTGTTGAGTTGATTCCTTCTAGAATTTTTCTCCTCCTGTGCAGCCCATGCTCTCCAGGGCCGTCACTGGTGCTGTTTCCTCATCCGTCTCATGCTCTCCGGGGCCCTGGCAGGTTCCTCATCCGTCTCATGCTCTCCGGGGCCCTGGCAGGTTCCTCATCCGTCTCATGCTCTCCAGGGCCGTCACTGGTGCTGTTTCCTCATCCGTCTCATGCTCTCCGGGGCCCTGGCAGGTTCCTCATCTGTCTCATGCTCTCTGGGGCCCTGGCCTTCACTGGTGCTGGTTCCTCATCCGTCTCGTGCTCTCCGGGGCCCTGGCAGGTTCCTCATCCGTCTCGTGCTCTCCGGGGCCCTGGCAGGTTCCTCATCTGTCTCATGCTCTCCGGGGCCCTGGCAGGTTCCTCATCTGTCTCATGCTCTCCGGGGCCCTGGCAGGTTCGCTCATCTGTCTCATGCTCTCCGGGGCCCTGGCAGGTTCCTCATCCGTCTCATGCTCTCCGGGGTCCTCGCCTTCACTGGTGCTGGTTCCTCATCCGTCTCATGCTCTCCGGGGCCCTGGCCTTCATTGGTGCTGGTTCTTCATCCATCTGCTCCAGCCTCTTTTCCTCTCTGATCTCCTCCCCTCCCTTGGTGGTATTGCGTATCCCACAGCTCAGAATCCCTCCTCAGTGGAGCGTTGGAAC